CTAATGATATGATAATGATAACTTGTTCAGAAAAAAATTAGTTCATCGATTCTTTCATTTACATTTCCTGTTTTTAGTAGAATTATAAGAGTAATTTTTCAACTTAAAAACAAAAATCTTTTGCTGTTATTCCGGGTGACAACAAATCATTATATAAGACGTCATCCAGTATTCAGTGCCATGAAAAATTTTTAACGAAGGTATATAATTATAAAACGATACATGATTTCCAGTTTAACTGCACATGGATTCAATACAATAATTTTGAATAGATCTTGGTATATTTTGTAGAATAATTTGTTCAATGTTGCTATTTAAAATAACGACATGGAACGACGTAATAATAGCCTTTATTGTCTTTATTGTCCAACAGTTTCCCATTTACAGGACAATATTAAAGAATAACAAAACATAAAATGGTGTGTATGAGTAAATTAATAATAATGATATTTAGTAGATTAAACAATAATTAAAATAACATATCAAAAATTAACGAAATATCGATATAACAATGCTGTTTAATTTTTCATCACCGAGATGANCTTGACTATGGTCATCTAGCGCCTCTGCGATATATTGAGTGATAAATATCAGATTTGACACTGTTGAGCGATTATTGACAAATAACGACATAGCAACACATAGCATTATTTAAAATGACGACATTTCATTAAAATTTAAGATGGCGGCACTATACATCATCTGTGGAAACATTGTCAAACAATTTGATGCTGTAAGAAACGAAAATGCCATATTTCTCAAAAATTTCAATAGAAATTGGTATTTTTCGAACATTAATTTTGACGGGCACCTCTTGTACTGCGGTTCATATTTCTGTGCCAATCAAAGAGTGAAAGTAGGTAGGTATAATATTTTTGTCATTTTTTGCAGTAAGAAAGTTAGGAATATATGGATGTCAAAAAATACCAATAGCTTTAGTTGTAGATATTGTTCAATCAACAGCTATCGATTGAATCATAAATCATTTTAAATGAACAATATTACAAGAAAAGCATTTACAAGTTCAAACGATCAATAATTATTCTAGATAACCATATTAAATGAAG